TTCTACATATGAAACTCCTCCACTTCAATGGTTGAAGGTTGTGGAAAAGTGATACTCAAGATGACATCCAACAAGGAACTCACATTAAATGAAGTGCTTCATGTCCCTAACATTCACAAGAATATTGTATCCTGTTCTTTGCTTAGCAAAAATGGCTTTAAGTTAGTCTTTGTATTCTAAAAATTTGTACTCACTAATTTGTGATGTTTGTAGAGAAGGAATATATGAGTGATAGATTTTTTAAGTTCAATGTAATGATTGTTGTACCCACATCTTCTAATAATAAGAATGAGATGAATTCTTCTTAATTGCTTGAGTCTTCTAATATGTGGCATACTAGACTAGGACATGTTAATTATGATGCAATTATAAGATTAGTTAATTTGAATGATTTTCCTAAGATATATATTGGTCAAAATCATAATTGTGAGACTTGTGTGGAATCAAAGTTGGCAAGAACATTTTTCAAGTCAAAAGAAGTACTGAGCTTCTTGGATTAATTCACAATGATGTTTGTGACTTAAAGTTTGTGAAAAGAAGAGGTGGTAAAAAATATTTTATTATTTTTATTGTTGATTGCACAAGATACTGTTATGTTTACTAAATTAGAAATAAAGATGAGGCTATTGATATGTTCAAACATTATAAAAATGAAGTTGAGAATCAATTTAGTAGAAAGATAAATGCACTAAGAAGTGATAGGGGTGGTAAATATAAATCTCTTTTCGAGGAGTTTTGTGTAACACATGGAATCATTCACAAAACCAATTCACCTCTCAATCAAATGACATAGCTAAATGAAAAACCAAACATTGAAAGAAATGATGAATGCTATGTTGTCAAGTTCGGGAGCACCCCAAAATTTGTGGGCGGAAGTCTTATTATCTGCTAATTATATTCTTAACAAGGTGCGCCATAAGAAAACTAATCAGACACCATATGAATTATGGAAAGGTCGAAAACTTTCCTATAAATTCTTAAAAGTGTGGGGGTGTCTAGTTAAAGTGACGGTTCCTAAATCTAAAAAGGTTATGATATGACTAAAAATTATTGATTGTGTATCCATTGGTTATGTATATAATAGTAGTGCATATCGATTTCTTGTTTATAAATATGAAATTCCTGATATGCATATTAATACAATTATAGAGTCAAAGAATGCGTCACTCTTTAAAAATAATTTTTCATTTAATATGTCACATGAATCAAGCTCATTATAAAGAAGTTCATTGAAGATGAACCTAGACGTAGTAAGAGGACAAAGACTCGAAGTCATTTGGTCATAATTTTCTAACTTATCTCTTAGAAAATGATCCTCAAAGTTTCAAAGAAGCAATGTCCTCTCCTGAAGCTCCTTATTGAAAGGAATCTATTAATTTTGAAATCAAATATATTATGAGGAATCATACAGGGAGTTGGTGGATCTTCCATTAGGTAACAAACATTTAGGCTATAAATGGATCTTTAAAAAGAAGATGAAAGCTGATGAATCTATTGACAAGTACAAATTTAGACTTGTAGCCAAAGGATATAAACAAAGGGAATGATTGAATTATTTGACACTTATTCACCAGTTATTAGAATTACTTCCATACGGATGTTAATTGTTATAGCTACATTGAATGGTCTTGAAATACATTATATGGATGTAAAGATAACATTCTTAAATATATATATATATAACAACCTGAGGGGTTCATTGCTAATGGACAAGAAAAGAAAATATGCAAGCTTGTTAAATCTTTGTATGGTTTAACACAAGCACCGAAGCAGTAACATAAAAAGTTTGACAAAACAATGTTGTCAAATGGGTTCAAAATATGAGTGTGATAAATGTGTATATGTCAGGAGCACTCATAGTGAATACGTTATTGTATGTATTTATGAAGACGATATGTTAATTATAGGCAGTAATAACGATGTCATTAAACTATCAAGCAGATGTTGACAAATAGGTTTGAAATGAAAGACCTAAGTGTTGCTAACGTCATATTAGGAATTAAAATTTCTAGAAAGTCCGATAGAATCATGTTATCTTAATCTCATTATATAGATAAAGTACTTGATAAGTTCAAGAAATATGAGATAAAACCTATGAGAACACTTGTCGATGATAATATTCATCTTTCTAAGAGTAAGGGTAATAACATATCATAGTTAGAGTATGCATGTATAATTGATAGTTTAATATACATAATAAATTATACACTTTCGGATATAGCATACTTAGTGAGTAAACTAAGTCGTTATATAAGTAAACCTGGAAAAGTCTAATGGAAATCAATTATTAGAGTTTTGAGATATTTAAAATATACTCAAAACTATGGTTTGCACTACATGAAATACCTAACAGTATAAGAGGGATATAACGATGCTAATTGGAGATCTGATACTAAAGATTCAAAATCTACGAGTAGATATATTTTTACCTTGGGTAGTGCAGCCATGTCTTGAAAATCTTTAAAACAAACTTGTATTGCTAGATTTACAATAGAATTTGAGTTCATTGTCTTAAATAAAGCTAGAGAAGAAATAGAATGACTTCATAACTTCTTAGAGAATATTCCAAATTGGCCAAAGCCTGTGCTTGTAATATGCATTCCTTGTGTTAGCCAATCTATGATTAGAAGGGCACAAAATTGTATATACAACGGTAAGTCTAGACATATAGGTCATAGAAACAATACCATCAGACAATTGTTGTCTAATGGTATTATAACCATTGACTATGTAAATCAAAGGATAATATTGTGGATCCGCTTACAAAAGATTTGACTAGAGAGCAAGTGGAAAGTTCATCAAGGGGAATGAACTTAAAGCTTATTACTTAACTAAGAGTCACCATAATGGCAACCCAACTTAACTGACTGGAGATCCCAAGATATAAGTTCAAAGGGACAACTGAATTATGTGTAACTTGGTACGCACTTAGGAGATTTTTTAAACTCCTTCTCATTCGTATGATGAGACAGTTCATATCTTCCGCGAGAACTAGGGTAAGTTATACTTTTTATGATATTTTGTGACTTGAAAATGTCCAAGTGGGGTATAGCAGGATACTCTTAATTAGAAATCACCTATGTGAGTAAAGAATGATTCGTTTATATGAGAATTGTAGGCTGATTGCTCTAAAATTGCTCATGAAATCAAGTGGTGTTCAAGGCCAAAATGATTACAAACGTGAAAACCAACTTTGTCCAAAAGAAAACTATGTAAATTTTATTGTCTTGGTTTACACAAAAGGCTGACAGTTCAAACACATCAAGTCCATTGATTAACCAAGTAAATTTGATAGTTTATTACTACAGAAAGTTCAAAGCCACTGACTACTTATCCAGATGCAGTAACCCTTCACCTGTACTTGAATTAGTATTTGCATTATTATACATTGAATTTTCATTCATGTGAGGGATTCTTGGAAAAATTGGTTTTAACCAAGATTATTTGAGCAACTTGAGTCTTGAATAAAAATGGGGCCCACACCTCGAAATAAGTGGGACCAAGTTTAAACGCGTTCTCCTCTGCGAAGAGATTAATGTGGTATATTTATTTGTCCAAAACCATTAAGATTTGAATGATAAATTATGTCTCAAAGTAATCCATTTGAAGTGATGAAATAAATTAAGATTGATATAGTGAAATAAAGTTTGTCCCATATTGGAAGAAGATCAACACTTTAGTGAGTTAATATACTCTTTATTGGCTTCATGGGTTGGGTCCTAAGAGGTACCACACTTTTGTGAGTGGAACGAGTGCCTACATTACTTTGGTTATCACACACACGCGCGTCGTTTGCCTGAATCGCCTCGCTACGCCATGACCACGACTAGACTCAGTCGGGCAGGGCTAAGGTTTTCATTTGGTGTGGTGCGGGTTGTGGGTCAATCCAAACGGTCCATTCCGTGGGTCAATCTCTGCCTTCCAATAGATTTTATTCCTGTTAAATTTGAAATTGGCACTGAATCGAAGAAGTCTGTCTTTTCTTTCCAAAAAGGTACATTCTGTCTTTGTGACTGCTCAGATTAAAATAGTATGTCGCTTCAATCCAAACGATGGCAACCCATGCCTTTTTAGGCAATCTGCACGACCATCAAGAATCTATAAATAGATAGTTCTCTAGCCATTTCAATTTATCCCAATTTTGGATTCCAATTTTAGAATTTATTCTCTCTCTATATATATTGTTGCATTATTCTTTTGGTTCTGTTCAAGTATAAACACAAGTTGTGTTCGCTACTATCTCGAAAATTGAAGTGCTATTTTTTTAAAAACGTAAAATCCATTCTATCTTGGGAGACAGCTGCTCATTGATCTTGAGCATCGAGAGGGAGCAAATAATTCTTAAGGAGATTATATTTCACAAGGCTCGAATTGAAATTCTGGTTTTCTTATTTATTGTTTGTTCAGATATGCATCACTGTGAGTGCACTATTTTTTTTATAACGATATATAGATATAACTTGAATTCTATTTATTGCATAAATTAGACTTCATAAAATTTATTATAATCTAATTATATACCTATTTTCTAAAACAACATCACCAGACACGAGACATGTCAAAGAACAAGACATATTTTGAATAAGTCAATTCATTTGAGAGGCCAACAGATCTGCTCTTTTCATAAATAATTTTCATGAATAAAAAATCAAAGTAAATGCTCTAATGTTTGAAATTGGTTGTTCCACAACAAACAAGCGAAGTAAAGTTTCTTGGCGAAGGATTCAAGGAACCAGGTAGAAAACAAGAATCCTTGTTTTCCTTAATGGAAATATACGAATTGCAATTTACATTCTTAAACTATGGTTTCAATCTCATTTCACCCCTCCACTATAAAGTTTTTCACATTGTCCACTTTATCCAAAAACAGAATTTGTTACATTTAAGATGAAAAACATCCACGTATCCTTATACTTGGAATTAAAGTGCAATAAAATGACGTTATTTGCGGGTAAAGGGATATGAATTTGTATAAAATTTTTAATTGATGTTTATAATTGGGATAACGTAAAATCAACAACAGTAGTTGAAAATAAGATGGGCAGTGTGATAAACGGCATACTTGGGAGAGCGAGAGTAAATTTCCCAATGACAATTGATAGGTGGGGATTTCACACCGAAACATTATTTTTAGATGCCTAGAAAAGTTTCAATTGGATATTTAAAGAGAAAGATTCTTAGCTATAAAGGAACATCATTATTATTAGCTATAATCATAAAAAAGCGAGCATATCACGAAACATCAATAGTGCATCACATAGCAATCATACTTAACAGTGGCATCTCCAGTATTAATGTCAAAGGTATGAGTTCTGGCCTGAACATAGCCCCGAGCAAACCGGAAAAGTCCGCTCCCTCCGATCACCGGCATCTCCCTTACCTTGTTGAAAACTGAGTTCCGCCCGAGCACCGTAATCGTGCTTCCATTATATTTTCCCTCAATGAAAGCAAAGTTCATAGCCATTATTAAACCAATCTCTTGTTGTGATGCAGATGCATAAAATCCTTGAGCCCTCCCAACCAATTTTGAGCTCAATTCCGGGCCCTCAGTTAAGGGATTATCGATCATGTTCATCACACCGAAGCCGGTAGATGAGTTTATGGACGGCTGAGTAACAGACACAGATGTGGGACTGCGGCCACTAACGATGTCATGCCAATAGATGCAAAAATGGCTAAGCTTTTCCTTTTTGAAACCGAAAGTTTTCCGGTCAACCGTTTTTATGAAGCCATTATTTTCTCCCGTGACCGGAAGAATGACAAAGAAGATGAGGAAGGAGATAGTGATGATGAAAAGGGAAGAGGATGTCGGAAGAACTTTGGCCATGGAGGTCTCAGCTTCACGGGTGGAGAATGGAGTGATTGGTCTTTGTTGTTTCTGTATGTAAGTGTCATGGGACCTAGCGAAGTTAAAATATTTTTTTTTAGGAAAAATTATACTAAGACTCTACGAGGTTTGAAATATTACACACAAACTTCTAAAGTTTGTGCACGCTTAATACTTAAACTCCTATCGTTAATGTCTGTCAGTATATCCGTTAATAAATTACACTTAAACTCTTTAAAATATTATACTTAGACTAAAAATACTGCAATCAAAACTAGAATATAAAATATTTTAAATTTTACGACTAAAATTCATATTCTATTATGATATTTATTGAAGAAAAATTAAAAATAAAAATCTAATTTTTTCTTAAAAAAAACATAATTAACATACAATTATATTATATATTTGAATTTAATTTGGTCAATTAAAGTTTGAAGATATTATGTCCATTAAAGTTTGACCCCTTATTTGATTATTTAGTTTTATTTCAATAGATAATATAATTCCATACTAATTATAATTTTTAAGAAAAAAATTAGATAGTTATTTTTGTTTTTATTTCAATAAATGATATAATAAAACATGAATTTTAGTTATAAAATTCATGTTCTATTATGAATGACTTAGATCACTAGTTTAATTTTTTATTTTTATTCCAATAGATAATATAATTGTATACTAATTGTGATTTTTTTAAAAAAATAAATTTTTATTTTTGATTTTATTTTAATAAATGATACAGTAAAATACGAATTTTGGTTATAAAATTTAAAATATTTGATATTTTATTTTTAATTAAAGTATTTTTAGTTTAAGTATAATATTTTAAATTTGAAAGATCTAAATATTATATATATCTAAACTTTAAGAGATCTAAATATAATTTATTAATAGATATAATAATAGACATTAACGACAGTAGTTTAAACGTTATGTGCATACAAACCTCAGAGAATCTGTATGTAATAGTTTAAATATTAGGGAGTTTGTGTAATTAAATGATAAATCTCAAATGATCTAGATGTAATTTTTTTATTTTTTATTATTAGTCATAGGTTCCTTAGGCCATTTAGTGATTGTGTTTGTATTTGAATTGTCCCAAACCAATTGATGATTAGAATCATGGGTTGATATCTGGCCACCCACCTTCTATGTGAAGTCAGAGATGTTTGTTGAACGGCGGATTTCAGAGCAAAATATACCACCTATATTCACCGTCAAAGGGGTCAATAAAGTTTTATTTCTTGAATGGTTTCAAAATTTTTAATTGGTTCTCAAAAAGCAAAAGCAAAAGGAATGTCATGTCTTTCTTTATGTGGGACCTGTTGCGTGAATGTTAGAATGTGTGAGCTTTTTCACATATTGCTATGCTCTGAAAAAAAAAAAAAAAGGGTCCAATATAGTTATTTATTCTGTGAAAAAGTAAAATAAAAAATTTAATATTGTTTAGGGAATTGAATAACATACACCCTCCTCTTTAATCATTCTGCTGAAAAACAAGAGTGAATATGCCACCCACTCCATCATGAGTCATATCATTGTGGAATTTAAATGTAGAGTAGCAAACTAGAACTCTAAGTATGAATGTGTATAGCTGAAAGTCTTTAGTGGTTTGTTGGTTGTTCCTCACGTCGTGTTGCAAAAGTCTGGAAATGATACATCAAAGTGGGCCCTTCAACGCCCACGCGGAAAAATAAAAAGACCACCACTTTTTTTGAGCTGGCTTATTTTAGTGGGTTAATAACAAATTGTAAGATTATTTGAATTTTAATTTATACTCTTAAAAGTAAAAAAGTTTAATTTATATTCTCAAAGATATAAATTTATATCAATGTGCACTTGAAGCTAATAATCGCCAATTTTTCGTCTAAAATTAAATGTATAAATTATACCCAGACTCCTTCATTTTTGTCACTTAATTACCTATATGCCTCATATTTGAAATATTGCACTTACATCTCTTGAAAATTTAAATATGACTAAAAATATTCTCCCAATTGGGTATCCAAATAATTTTGTTTAAGTGATGCATTACATTGGATATAAAGAACATTATATAAATATTTCCATTATATTGGACATTTAAATGGTGAGCTTAATTTTGAATTTTAGAGTATAACGGACCCACAAAATAAAGAATAATATAAAAATTATAATTTTTTATTAGAATGAAATCATATTTTTTAACGGTTATATTAACACTTATAAATGACAAAGGGTTATATGTTACACGTGCACAAATGTCAGGAGGTGTAAGAGTAATATTCTAAATGTAAAGATGTTCAAATGATTAAATGACAAACTTAAAGAGATCGAAGTGTAACTTATCTAACTAGTTTTAGACGTCTGCGCAAACTGACTGCTGTTAGTTTCAAGTACACATTGATACATATTTATATATTTGAAGGTACAAATTAAGAATTTTTTATTTTTGAAAGTATAAATTAAAATTTGAGAGATTTTTTTGAGTGCAATTTACTATTAACCCTATTTTAGCAAGGTGGGGTTTGTTGGAATTTGACCTAAACTTTCTAAAATTTTAATTATTTATTTAGTGCAATTAGAATGTTATTATTATAAGTTGTTAATTAATTCTAATTCAATAAAATATTGCTTAATTAGAATTAGTTGTGATGCTGGACAAGTCTTCTTAGAAATATGACAGCTATGTTCGTCGTTATGCTTGTAGCCACCAACCATTGATTTAAGAATAACAAAATTGCTTTTGTTTTGACGTTAAGTTTCAACGTCTTTGTCGGCCTTTCTTGCTTCGTTTTCTTCTGCTTTTGTTATTTTTTTGACTGGTTTTTTATTTGTTTATTGATTAATTCAAGATTATTTGGAGTGGTTGATATTATTTGAGATCCGACACCTAATATTAGAGTCAATTTCATAGACCCCAAACAAAAATGAGTTCGTTTAATGTCCAATTGCAGACTGTATCTAGAAAGCTTTAGCTGATGAAGTTATATATTAAAAATTTTTTTTTTTCTAATGAAACTTAATTTATTATTTAATAAAAATATTTATTTTTTTATTGAGAATCTATATAGACAAAATGTTTGTATTAGTGTGTATCTTTTATTTTACATTGTAAATAATCTGGTGTGTGAAATTTGACTAATACATAAAAAATCAGATTATCAGATCTTTGTAAGGGTTCACATCCACAGTTGAAATTGAACATACCGTAAGTATGATTGTAATGCAATCTAATGACATAGTCTTTCTTGACCATAAGAGACTATTTGATCTCTCAAATTGTTATACTAACATGATTATTACTGAGGTTATTTTATATTTACTGACTAAATAAAAAAATAAACACCTCATGATTATTATGATTACATAAGCTCTTAATATTGAAATATTTAATTGACACGTGCATATAATGATTGTTACTTTTATCCATCAAAGATTGAGATTTACATCCGAGTCAAAAAAACTCAGTGAATTGGAAGCTAATATTATTTGTATACTGAAAATTAATTATTAAAGGAAATTACATCCTGATATTTAAATGTGTTATTGATGTCCTCCCGAGAAAGTTCAAAAGTTTTGTCCATGTCAAATCGGCATGTTGATTTAATTATCTGACATTACAAATAAGTTGAGTGGTAAGATCTCAAGGATAAAAAGAAGTCAATTAAATATAATTCTTTGTAATTTAATTAATTGAAAGACATCGATAATCTTAAAACATGGGGATATTATTAAACGTATAATAACGAGGAGTTCAAAATATAATTTTAAAATAAAACCCAAGAGATAAATAATATGTTTTCAGTAGACTAATTTATTATTAGTAAACCTGTTTGTTTTGGGATGGACATAGGATTCCTAAGCCTATTCGAAGCCCATTCCCCTAGATAAGCTTTTCACGTGCTCTCTAGTCAAACCTTTTATGAGCGGATCCACAATATTTTCATTTGAATTTACATAGTTAATAGATATAATATCAGTAGAGAAGAATTGTCTAACGGTATTGTGTCTACAACGTATGTGTCTAAACTTACCGTTATACATATAATTTTATGCCCTTCCAATCATAAATTGGCTATCACATTGAAAGAATATTGCAAGTACAGTTGGAATATCCTCTAAGAAGTTAGGAAGCCATTTTTCTTTTTCTCCAGGTTTATCTAAGAAAATGAATTCAGATTCCATTGTAGATGTACCAATACAAGTTTGCTTTGAGGATTTCCAAGACACGACTGCACTATCCAAGTTAAAGACATATCTACTCGTGGATTTTGAATCTTTCATATCGGATATCAAATTAGCATCGGTATATCCCTCGAGTACTATTAGGTACTTCGTGTAGTACAAACCATAATTTTGAATATGTTTTAAATATCCCAAAATTATAATAATTACTTTTCAGTGGTCTTTTCCGAGATTACTTGTATATCGACTTACCTTACTCACTAAGTATATTATGTCCGGAAGGGTACAATTCATCATGTATATTAAACTACCAATTATACGTATATATTCTAATTGAGATATGCTTTCACCCTTATTCTTAAAAAGATGGATATTAACATCGACAGATATTCTAATAGGTTTTATCTCATACATCTTGAACTTATCAAATACTTTATCAATATAATGAGACTGAGATAACATGAGTCCATTTGACGTTCTATAAATTTTATTCTCCTCATTTTTTTTCATATCCAATATTTAAAACATATTTCATCATCCTAACCAGCCCTAGGGTGTTTTGAACAAATTTCTTTTCGCATTCACCCGAACAAGCTACTCATGAGTCACACCATAGACTTAAATGCTATTCAAAAGTACTCATCTACACATCTTCTTTTCAGGAATTGTGTGTGTGTGAAATGAACATGCAATTTACCCAAAACCCTCCACATCCATTTTAGCTATCCAAATTCAGTTTCGATGCAATTCTCACCAAAGTTTTCCTCTTAGAGTGAATAATTCTATGATTATAATGGCTTTCTCTCTATTTCCAAACGTGAAGCAAAATATTCAAAAACAAAATAAAGCTCACATATGGTCCAAAATTGAAGTGC